ACTGTAATTTCACAGTCAGTACGTTTCTCGTCACTTTAAACGTAACAACTTTTATAACACACGCTATAAATCACAACGAATCACTATCTTGATAACTGCTTTCTACGAGTGCAAAATACACATTTTATGGCTCACTAGCTCAAAACAGAATCGTAAATTACCTGAAACTTACCGTGACTACTGTTTGCTTCACCATACATTCATTCCCGCTGGCTTTTCTTGCCAGGCTTATATACTAACAAAGAGGCTTGTCTAAAATTTGTAGGGTTCCTTGATAATTCGAGAAATTCAATCACGCAGGCGCCAGCAGCATCACGTAACTTCCGTTGTCATAACACTGTCCCTTCCTTAGTATTGTTCATCACGAACAATAGCCACTTACATTAAACCAAAAGATAATTAACAATAACTTAATTAAATGTACAGAATTTGCAAACACAAAATTAAAATACAACAAAGTCTCTTAATTGTACAGGATGTTTTTTCTTTCATACTGGTCTCCATTTCAATGGCTTCTGCTTTATGTGGGACTCATTTACTCCATCAGGAAATGTCCCATTATCGGTAGCAGTCACATTAGTGGTAGTAACTTTATTAATGGCTTCACTGTTTTCCCCCTCAAAACTGGGTAGAGTTTCTTCTTCAACAACGGCTTTTTTCAGGTGACACATTTTCAACAGCATCATTTGTTCTGTTGTTCATTTCATTCCAAATGAAATGTCCTGGACTGTGATAATGCCAAAGCCTGTTGGCATGCACCACTTTTGGCTTACTTCGCCGCCCACATTTTAATCAGAAAGTCACGTCTGAGAGACGATGCACTATGTCGTATGGGCCTTCCCATGGAGGGATAACTTAGGAGACTTTGCTTTGGTCTTCCTGGGATTATACAACCACACCTTGTCTCCTGGTACAAAGCTGACTTCAGTAGATTTCTTATCATAACATAGCTTCATGGAATCAGCAGACATTTTTAAATTTGAATGCACTTGATGATGAATATCATCCATCCTTTCAGATAACATTTTCACGAACTCTGGGACATTTTCAAGCAACTCTTCATAAGGTGGGCATCCTGTTATCAGGTCCACTGGCAACCAAAGTTCCCAACCAAACATCAGCTTTGCTAGAGTGTATCCAGTGGTTTCATGCTCTGCTGTTCTATAGGCCATCAACAGTGGAGGGGAGTAAGACATCCCAGACATCTTGGCAGCTATTACAAAACTTTGCCAATTCCTGTCCCAGTGTCCAATTGTACTTTTCTACCATCCCATCAGACTGTGGGTGAAGTGGCATTGTCCTGGTCTTTCGTATGCCAAACAACTTACAGCATTCATGGAACACAGCTGATTCTGAACTGCTTGATCTGAATGCAGTTCATATGGCATACCAAACCTGAAGAAGAAATCAATAATAGCCGAAGCTACAGTTAGTTCAACCTCTCTTTTGCAGCAATGTCTGCAGTAATTTTTGCAGGGTCTTCAGCTCAGTCCTTCGGCATTTCCATGAGATTTAACAGAGGCAGCAACACTTCCCGAAGTTGACCTTTGTTGTTCCCAAGCATCATTTTATCAAAGTTAATTACACACTTCCTTGGTAGTAAGTAGTCCAACCCTAATATGCATGGGTCTTCAATGTCAGCCAAG